ATCCCGAAATAGTTTCGGGATTTCGGGATAAATCGGGAATCCCGAAATGGTTTTGGCCTTTTGGACTAAATTTGACATATTATGCTTTTGGGCTAAAATTCAACATTTTATATTGAAATTTTGGGCTTTTGGGCATAATGCCAATATGCGGCCCAATCTATTGTTAGACAAAAATATGCAATCTGTGCAATTTGTGCAATTTGTGCAATTTGAAATCTGAATCTGTGCACAATAGTCAATAGTTGTGCACAGATAATGTTATGCAAATGCTTAAGGATCTAATCAGTTAGTCATTAGAAGTTTCAGAGAGAAAGAAAAGAGCAAAAACAAGTTCTCAATGCTTGCTAAATCGAAAAATAAGTTTAAGAGAATCTCCAATATGAAAACATTTTTCAAATATGTAATAGTTAACAATCTGTATATGGACAACAAAAGAAAATTGATATATCATGGTAACATTTTAGACTAACTTTTTAATCCACTTCCCTGCAATCAATATGTTTTTAATCCATATTCCGAGTCCAATACTAATCAACACCATTTACAACCCAGGGCCCTCATTCATCCCCTCACCCAAAACGAATATAAAACAAACAAAGAAAGAAGCGAAATGCCTCGGTCTATTCGAATGCATATGAACCAGATTTCATATATTTAATTTAACACAAACAAGGGAATAACAACAGCAGCTTGTAAGTTGTACCACACTCCATTGACTTCTCATATTCCCTCTGCAACCTCTTCGTCGATTCAAAATCCCTAATTCCAAAAGCCCTATTTCAGAAACCCTAATTTCAAAAATTCCTAATTCAGAAACCCAAATTCAAATTTTCTAATCGAATTTGGAATCAAACAATTTGTATGAACTTTGGTTGAGTTTATTGCAGGAATTTCTTACCTTTTGCAGTGAGGAGGAGGAGTGCGGAATGAGACCGAAAGCTCGATTTAGGAGCCGAATTCGAATGGTAAGGACAGTGGGTAAAGGTGCGATTAAGGTGAGGAGTGATGACTGAGAGGAATGACGACTGGTGTGGGTAGATTCGGGATTCAGGCGACGGATGTGGGAGGAGAGACAAATCGGCGAGGAGATACTGAGGTGAGGTGAGGTGAGGTTTTAGGTCTGAGGTTGAGAGACCGAGAGAGAGAGAGCGAGAAAGAGTCAGACACGGGTTGGGGGGTTGATAACTTTGATTTACATGCAACGGCTGAGATTAAATCTCAACATAATCCAACGGCTATTAAAATTCTAATTATATATTTAAAAATTAAATAATATATATGTATATTTTTCAGTTCGGTTTGGGAATACCGAAATCCCAAAAACGTGAGACTGATTCCCGTACCGATATTTCGGGAATTTTTCGGTTTAGGAATATTTCAGTTCGGTTTCGGGAAAATTTCGGTTCGGTTTGGTATTTTTGGGATTTTTTTCCAGCCCTAGGTAAGTGGGACAGGATGGGACGGAACAGGACGAGCCGTTCTGTCCCACGTTTAGTGCGCCTAAAAATTGTGGAACGGGTTGTTCCATGGGACGAAATTTGGCTGATTTTTCGTTCCACCTCTTCCTCCTGGAACGATCCGTTCCACATCCATAGAACACAAATTTATAACATTTTATGACAAAATTTCTCCTTATCTTTTTCAATATTTACATCATTTGTTCCGTCATGTTCCGTCCCGTCCCGTCCAGTCCTGTTCCGTCCCGTCTGCGTACCAAACGGTACCTATATATAAGAAACATTAGTATCCGGTCCCTAATTTTTGTTCATTGATTAAGACCTTATTAGTTTTTAGATTTTCATCAAAGTTCTTATCATTAATATATTAATGAATTACATGTAAGTTACATAATTTTTATAATATAAATTAATTTTCAATTCAAACATTTTTGTTGTCATAGAAGACAAATATGTCTTTAGGGTTTAGGGTTCAGTTGACAAAAATGGTTTCATTAATATAGTATTTTTTTAATTAGAGAAGATAAACTTACATGTAAGTGAGGTTTAAAAAAACAACAAAATTTTGTTTTATAAAATTACGTTATTGTCTTTAACTTTTTTTTTTTTTTTTTTTTTTTTTTGTGATTGAAGATAAAGATGTATTTTTACCCTCTTTTAGTTAACAAAGAAAGTTTAGTTTTAGATTATCACCATATTTTTTTATATATAGAATCTTGAATTTAAGCATTCAAGAATTCAACTCTCGTGGCTGGCTCTTTCCTCCACACCAAAAACCCAACTAGGTCATGGACTAATCATGCCTTTTTTGTCAAGTTGAGCCACACTTAGGCTTAAATTTGGGTCACACTTCCCCGATGACTAAATTAACTGATCATAATATTAATTCAACCGTATTTTATAAATAAAATTGTAAAATCTGATGGGAAAGTTGATAAAAATAGTAAACTGGAAGATAATATCGTATATGGAAGGAAGATTACCAAAACTGAATGTTTCTGTGCGGAGCCGCATGACAGGGGATGGGGAGGAGTGCATTTCGGATATTATCCAGTATTTGGATGAAACTTGAAAGCAGAATAACAGCTACGTTATTCATCTTAACTGTCAACCTACAACTACAAGTCCACAACCATTCGGATAAGGGATAAGGATTAAGGAAGAAGATGAAACAATATGGCACAAGCCATTTATCCAATCTGGTAAACAATGCAATTCTACAAAGAAATATTACTAGTAGGACTATTATTTTCTCCATAAGAAATCACACTAAATTTTGGTTGATATAATCTTCCACGAGTCATCTGTCTCTTCTCTTTGCACCTGCTTGATGAGGATGAACAAATAACATTATCATTTAAAAAAAAAATACACTATCAAAATTAAAATTGAAAAGTAAAATCGATATATTCTTAATATAGAGATGTTATCAATTTATAGATTGTAATATGAATAAATAATGAATTTATGTTTTGGGTAACTAATAAGCAAATTGTATGTAATTATAACACTAGTAGATTGGTTATATCGCATCCTATGACTTCCTAATTAGGCACACTCCATATGAAGATTAAGAAAGGGATTCGAATCCCTATACAAATCTAAAACAGTAGCATAACTTTTGTTAGACGACACCTCCTCATTAGTCATTGGTCGCCAAACATATTCTGATTCCAACCCAACAATTACTTCTTTGTCAAGAAACAGCGTAAATGCCCTAATTCCTCTTTAACTCACTCTCTTTTTTTTTTTTTTCCTTCCCTAGTCCAAGCATTAACAACTTGTGAAGAGTCTTCACAAAACCAGCCAAGAAAATTTTCCTTTCGCCCTCATGAATCCCAAGAGAAATACAAGATTGGGAGAGAGCTCTAGGCAAGACATGGATGATCGAGACCATGAAGAAGACCCTGATTGTAAAGACAAATCGATGACGATGAAGGAAGGTGCTTTAATTCTTATACATATGAAGCATAAGGTTTTGGATTCCGATAGTGCGAGGGAATTGGAAAATATGAAATGCAAATTTCTTGGTTCAAATTATTGGAAGAAGAAATACTCACATGAAGGAACGACGAGGAAACGTATAATTCAAGAAACTGAAGCCCCAAAAACCCTAGAAGCCGTTTATAATGTTGCTGCTGCACAAGGACAACAACCCTTGACTGGAGAGTTACAAAAACTAAAAGACGAGGAAGTTGAAGCAGAAGGTTTGTTCTATGGGAACTATGCCCCTCCTGATGTGCCACATGTTCCTAGAATACAGCACTTAATTCAAGTGTGCAGCAAGCCCTTTGAGAAACAACTCACAAGTAGTGATGTGAGGGATGGCCAGTGCAGGTTCGCCATCAACAAAGAAGACGTCGAAAACCATATCTTCCTGTTGTTGAAGAAAGGTGAAGACATTAGGAAGGGCATCCATGTCACAACTTATGATGTGGACGGTAACGATTACCCGATGGTATACAAACTTTGGGCGGGTAAAATTCATGTCCTCACTGGAGGCTGGAAAAACTTCGTTCATGATCATGGACTCGTTGAGAAGCAAGATTTTGTGACGTTGTGGGTTTTCCGGAATGCTGATAATGGAAGCCTTTGCTTTGTGATTAGTTCAAGAAGGCTGCCGGTGTATGAAACCATCAAGAAAAGAAGATTGAGGAGTAATTGAGATTGTGGACCTCATAAAAGGGGTTAATGAGATTAGATTTATGGTTTTTCTCAATATTTCTGATTTCTGGCATAACATGTCCATTTAGGATTATCAGATTTTGGGCATAACGTTCAGTATTTAATCGCAGTTCATTGGTTTTTTTTTTTTTTTTTTTTTTTTCAATTTTGTTGCTACAAGCCTACAACGATGTTGGTGGAGTGTACGAAATTTGCATAAATTGCTTTTTATTTTATTAGTTTATTCACAAATATATATACCATAAAGTTTGGAATTGAATCCAATGTGTCGCGACTAATTAGTAAGCGAGTCCATCACAATGCGTAAATTATATTTAGAAAATCTTTAGTTTGCAGGATGAACAAATCTGAGCTTTGTTTGATGGTACTTAAATTATATTTAGAAAATATTTAGTTTGCACTAGTATCTCACCGAAATTGAAGTGTTTAAATCAAATTGTAAGTACTTAATTATATAGAATTTTGAAAGTCTTGTTTGTCACTTACACAAACATGCGATCAGAGTTGTATTTGCTTGCCCTACCTTATCAATTCGAACAAGCATTACAATTTTTATTTTGGGAGCTTGCGATACTGTTCACTTTAACGAAAAACCACATTTTTACACTAAATAGTCAAACTTGGTACTATTCACTTTACCCCTTATTTTGTTCTTATCGTTAAAACTCAAAGTTTTCAAGCATTTTTCATTAATTTTCCTTTTTATTTTATTGTACCATGTCCTGCAGAATTACAAATCGTTCTTTGTATAAAACGCATGACTTGGATGTGTGGTATTTTTAGGCATACATTACGTGTTTTCAAGAATAATTGAATAACAGAAATTGAACTGTGAAATAGGAAATGAAATAACTCAGATGAAAAGAAAGTCATGTGAGATAACATGTTAAATTTTATCACCAAAATATTGTGTATGGCATCTTGAATTCAACTCTAATGCTGGCTTTTTACTCCATACCACCAAAAATCGAAAGCAGTAAAGACCAACGATATCTAAACATAAGTGCGTATGTGTAATATGTGGTTTTCTGTCACATTTTATTTTGTTAAATGGGTACAAATCAAAATATCCAAAAAAAATATAATGTAATGTAATTTTTGACATCACCGAACAGTCATTCCTAGAACCCAAAACTTTCTGTTCCCTTAACAAAGCGCAAGGTACCATAATAAGCCCTTGCACCTCGAGTTCTAATCTTGTCAATAAGGTGTTCAGCATGGATTTTGTAATAGATACAGTCTTTCCACAACTATACTAGCCTTAATCCTTCGAATGAGCCCCCGTAGCAACAACTGTTTCGGTCTTCCACTAATCATTTACACGAAAATTAAGAATCATTAAATAGACAAAGGGTGGTGTCTAATGTAGCAACCAAAATTACCAAGAAAGATTAACACTTACATTAACGACGATAAAAGAGTCTGTCAGTTCTGTAAGTGCCTACATCCCAATCATATATGGTCAACAAACAGCTAGGAGAAAGAATTAACTAAATAAAAAGGGCGACCCTAAGCCAACAAGGCTCATCGCTTTGTGAGCGTCAAGAGGAACATCTATCGTACGCACTCATACCCTTACTTTGCAAAAAAGTTGTTTCCACGACTTGAACCCGAAACCTTTCGGTCACGAAGGAGCAACATTTCAGTGCGCCAAGGCTCGCCCTCTAGGAGAAAAACCAACTATTCATTTTCTCAGGGTTTTCCATTTCGTTTCAAGACTCAGGGTTTAAAATTTAAGTCACTTGTATTCACCTTTATGTAGATACCATCGGGGGGCCTTTGAGAAGTTCCTTCAATTCAACAGGTTCCACCTGCATGTGATTGTAGAGATTTACATAGCTGACTAAGCTCACTCTATTCTCACAACATTAGTGGTTCAAAAATTCATGAAAACTTCTTGATTCCAAATTTTGAGATAGGCCCCTAATCTTGATTCCCGAACTTGAAGATCTCATACTGCCTTGTATTCAACAAATCTATTGCCTGAAATAATAAAAAAAATTGTTAAAAAGAATACAAAATAGAGATCACATAGGAGAAAAGGATAATTTCATGGCAAAACAAAAACGGTACACTTACCACCTGTTTGTAAATTTCTCTAATAGAAGTAGGGCCCGCCAACGCATGTGAGTCACGTCGGCCGGCCTGACCTTCAACAACAGCTGCACCGGTGTAACCTGTGATCAATGTTTTCTACGTAGTACTACACACTAACTACCTCATTTTTAAGGTAGTGCACGAATACTTTTGCTTTTTTGTTGCAACTTAATTTATTTAAGGAGTTTATTTAATTCGCAATGTTGCCTTGAAGAGTGACACACATATATATAGTTACTCTAGTATTACATGCATGGAGCTTGTTTATCCAAGAGCGTCCGTAAGAAAACACCTTTGTTCGGTGTTTGAAGCTAGATAGTCTATTTCTTTTCCCTCTTTTCCATTGTTCCATCCATGGCAGCTCCGCCACGGGATGTGACAGAACATTTAGTTCGAGATGGAGACATGCATCAGCTTCTTAATGAGATAAGGGATAGAGTAACTGATGAGCCGTCAGACCAAGAATTAATCTTCTACTTCTTGAATAGGTAGATAAACGGTCAACCTCAGCCTTCTCAGTTAGTTGTCGATGAATTTCGTAGCCTAACCCCCAATGATTTGTGCTTAATTCTTGTTTTCCAAGATTTTCTCTATTCTATATATTTTTTCCTTTTTATCTTTATGAAAGGTATACATTTTTTATTCTGTATAAATCTCCATTTTTTGGTTAAATGTGATAGATGATCTACAACAACTATATTTGTATACAGCAATGGAGTGGGGGCCCGGCGGTCATGATCTTTCGGATTGACGAGTCTACATTGGACAGGATCCCTTGGATAGAAAGGAAATTCTTGAATGGTGGATCTCTAAAGAAAACATATTAGGAATAAGTACGGATGATCCTGAACTTCAAATTTAAATTGGATACAAGAAGCCTTATGTATACCATATAGGCAATAAGCGAAAGGATGTCGTAGGAACATATTAGCATATGATTGAGCATAGTACAGAACCAGATCATTCAAACTCAAAGGGCTCAGGAATTGTAAGTTATTCGATAACTTGTTTAGCACGTATACTAAAACCAATATGATATCTCTACTCCTAACACTTTTAATTACTATGTGTACTGCAGTTGTACAATTGGTTGCTAAAAAAGATATATCTTGGCAAGAAAAAGTCTACTAGGCAACGTCGTGGTTCTAATAATGTGCACGCTGATGACGTAAGTTTTTAGAGATTTTATACACACTCGCAATACTGTAGTTTCTAGTGTCTTTATTTATTTTTTCGAAATGACGTTTGACCAATCTCTTAATTATTTTCTACATAGTTTTGGTTTGGTTTGTTTTTTTCTTCTGTCAAAACCACTTTGCAATGTCAATAGTGCATTTTAGGCATACGAAATGAAGAATAAAGAATCACTTGCTATATAGCATGGTTAATTTCTTATTTACAATGTTTTTTATTTTTATCATAAGTATATGTTAGAATTTGCTCCAAACCTTATGACGTTTTTTCAATGGTCTTATTTTCGATGCTTAATCATATTATCTTACGATTTTCGTTTTAATTGTTGGGACATTGAATATAAATAACATTGTCCCAACAACTAAAACGAAAATCATAAGATGAATATAATTAAGCATAAAAAATAAGACCATTGAAAAAACGTCGTAAGGTTTGGATCATATTCTAACATATTCTTAGGCTAAAAATAAACAACATTGTAAATAAGAAATTAACCATGCTATATAGCAAGTGATTCTTTATTCTTTATTTCGTAGGCCTAATGTGCACTATTGACATTGCAAATGGTTTCGACAGAAGAAGAAAAAAAAACCAAACCAAAACCAAAACAAAACAAAACTATGTAGAAAATAAAGAGATTGGCCAAACGTCATAACGAAAAATAAAAAAAATAAAGACGCTAGAAACTACAGTAGTGTGAGTGTATATAAAATCTCTAAAAACTTACTTTATCAGCGTGCACATTATTAGAACCAAGACGTTGCCTAGTAGACTTTTTCTTAACAAGATATATCTTTTTTAGCGACCAATTGTACAGTTGCAGTACACATAGTAATTGAAAGTGTTAGGAGTAGAGATATCATATTGGTTTTAGTATACGTACTAAACAAGTTATCGAATAACTTACAATTTCTAAGCCCTTTGAGTTTGAATGATCTGGTTCTGTAGTATGCTCAATCATATGCTAGTTTGTTCCTACGGCATCCCTTCGTTTATTGCCTATATGGTAATATATACATAAGGCTTCTTGTATCCAATTGAAATTTGAAGTTCAGGATCATCGGTGCTTATTTCTAATATGTTTTCTTTAGATATCTTAGAGATCCACCATCCGAGAATTCTGTTTTTATCCAAGGGATCCTATCCAATGTAGATTCGTCGATCCGGAAGATCCTGACCGCCGGACCCCTCTCTATTGCCGTATACAAATATAGTTGTTGTAGATCATCTATCACATTTAACCAAAAAATGGACATTTATACATAATAAAAATATATACAATTCATAAAAAATAAAAAATAAAGAATATATATAGAACAGAGAAAATCTTGGAAAACAAGAATTAAGCACAAATCATTACTGCAAAGTTGTTCTAGGGTTAGACTGCGAAATAAGGGTGGGCACAGTGCGGTTCCACCCCTAAACCAGAACCGGAAAATATCAACGGTTCGATTCGGTGCGGTTCCGCTTAAATTTATTACTAGAACCTTACGGTTCGGTCTACACCGGTTTCGATTCAATTCTTGCTGGTTTACGGTTCCGAATACTAAATTATTTGAACACCAAATCATCATGCATTCAAATACATCTCTAGACTACTAAATATGCTAAATATGAGACAAGATAATTAGTCAAGTATAATTAAGTTCAACTAACCTGGAACTGTAGAAGATAATTAATCAAACAGTAGAAGACAAGAGTGTGCAGATGCCCTCCGCTCCAAAATTTCACGAAAAGCTTCAAATGGGAAACAATAGAATATAATTATTTAAACATCTGTACGCTTCAAATTGAAAGTGGACACAAAATCTTTATTTAAAAGGACAGAAGGTTTAAGCATGATATGCATGATACGCCCTCCTAAGATGAAATACAACAACAACAACAACAACAAAGCCTTTTCCCACTAAGTGGGGTCGGCTATATGAATCCTAGAACGCCATTGCGCTCGGTTTTGTGTCATGTCCTCCGTTAGATCCAAGTACTCTAAGTCTTTTCTTAGAGTCTCTTCCAAAGTTTTCCTAGGTCTTCCTCTACCCCTTCGGCCCTGAACCTCTGTCCCGTAGTCACATCTTCGAACCGGAGCGTCATTCGGCCTTCTTTGCACATGTCCAAATCACCGGAGCCGATTTTCTCTCATATTTCCTACAATTTCGGCTACTCCTACTTTACCTCGGATATCCTCATTCCCAATCTTATCCTTTCTCGTGTGCCCACACATTCCACGAAGCATCCTCATCTCCGCTACACCCATTTTGTGTACGTGTTGATGCTTCACCGCCCAACATTTTGTGCCATACAACATCGCTGGCCTTATTGCCGTCCTATAAAATTTTCCCTTGAGCTTCAGTCGCCTACGACGGTCACACAACACGCCGGATGCATTCTTACACTTCATCCATCCAGCTCGTATTCTATGGTTGAGATCTCCATCTAATTCTCCGTTCTCTTGCAATATAGATCCTAGGTAGCGAAAACTGTCGCTTTTTGTGATATTCGCTAGATTGCTCCGGTCATTAGTGTGGATAAGTATATAAATGGATAGAGATAGGAAAGCAAACACAAGATGTACGTGGTTCACCCAGATTGGCTACGTCCACGGAATAGAAGAGTTCTCATTAATTGTGAAGGCTTTACACAAGTACATAGGTTCAAACTCTCCTTTAGTGAGTACAAGTGAATGATTTAGTACAAATGACATTAGGAAATATTGTGGGAGAATGATCTCGTAATCACGAAACTTCTAAGTATCGGAGTGTGGTGTCGTCTTGACTTGCCTTATCTGTCTCATAGGTAGATGTGGCATCTTCTCTGGAAGTACTCTTCCTCCATCCAGGGGTGGTATCTTTAACTGGTGGAGATGCACAAGGTAATGTATCAATTTCACTTGAAGCTTACTTGTAGTTTCAGGCTTGGTCAAGCGCGATACAAACCATGTAGTAGGAGTCCCCCAAGTCGCCGAGCTAGGGGGTCTGCTGAAAGAGGTGACAGACAAGGTAAGCAATCAGAGCTCCGACTGATTGTTCACCTTCTCCCCATCTTGCAGCAGCATGAAGGATAAAGAGAAGAAAAATGAGAAGAGATGATATGAGATACTTTTGCTTTTGAAGAAGTAACTTTCCACAGGCTTATTCTTGAACTGAGCTTGAGGGTTTTCTGGTTTCCTCCAGAGTATAAGGCCGACTGAAGAATTTGAGGGTCAAAACAAGTCCATCAAATCTAGAGTACGTTCCACCCTGCTGATATGGGATACTTTTGCTTTTGACAGAGTAATGGATGTATCGGCACGTGTGCTGTTACGCTTGTCTCCACATGCTTCCTTGTATCCTTCGCACTTGCCCTATCTGTTCCTCAAGTAGATGCGGAATCTTCCCTGGAAACATAAGATGTTGAAGATGAGTACTCGAGAGCAATGTCAGGTAAGTAATCAGGTAAGGGGTTCCAGGCAGTCAGTTCCTGGCTGGAAGCTTGATTCCAAGTGCTGACTGATTGCTCTCTTTCTCCTTGTCTTGCAGGTAAAAACAAGGCCAAAGGAAAAGACAGGAAAAAAGCATGATATGGGATACTCTTGCTTTTAACCCTGATGATATGAGATATTCTTGCTCTAGTATAGCTTGTTTGCAGAGGTATTATCGGGGGAAAAGAAAGCTGAATATTTCGAAAGGCTTCGTTGGGAGTGCCCTCTCAGATATGATGAAGGGTTGAGCATTTTTGCAGGTCTGCCTGTCCGTTGGGGATGGAGGTCGACATATATAGGAGTCTCCCTAACAAGTAGTAATGCTATTCCTTTACCCTGCTTGGTCATAGCACGGTAGTGGGAGCTGCCAGTTTCACATGTTTTAACTCTGTCAGAGCACTTTGAAAAAGTGGTCTGTGGTATCTGGCTCTCGAGATTCGGAGAACGATGCCTTTTCGATTTTGCGAAAGCAATCATGCTAGGGGTCTGGCTCTCGAGATTCGGAGAGCAGTGTCTCTTCGATTTTTGAGAAAGTAATCATGTTGGGAGTCTGGCTCTAGAGATTCGGAGGGCGGTGCCTCTTCGATTTTGGAGCAAGCAATCTTGTTGGGAGTGTTGTCTCGAATGTGAGTAAAGGTTGGGCATGTTTGCTAGTTTACCTTGCCACGAAGCACAAAGGTTGACACACAGGGACTTTCCAATTATCCAGCAATGGTACTGTTCCTTTACCCTCTCTTCGATTTTGAGAAAGTAGTCATGTTGGGAGTCTGGCTCTCGAGATTCGGAGGACGGTGCCTCTTCGATTTTGGAGCAAGCAATCTTGTTGGGAGTGTTTTCTCGAATGTGAGTAAAGGTTGGACATGTTTGCTAGTCTACCTTGCCACGAAGCACAGAGGTTGACAAACAGGGACTTTCCAATTATCCAGCAGTGGTACTGTTCCTTTACCCTTGTGGGTAATAATATGGTAGCTAGACCTTCAAAATTTATGTGTCTAAACTTTGTTAGTGCTGTTTCTTTGCTATTCTTTTACCTTTCTTGGTCAGAGCGATGTAGTGGGAGCTGCAAGCTTCACGTGCTCAACTTTGGCAGAGAACTTTGGCAAAGTTATCTGTGGTACCCATGAGCTATTGTTGTGTGTGGGAAGTGGGTGATTGAACAGTAAGATTCATGTGCTTTCTACTTCACCAGAAGTCTTCGACAGAATGCCCATAATTTCTGCAAAGCTGAGTGTGCGTGTGACAGGTGCTGACAAGGCTAGAAAAGTAGGTGCCTCTTCGATTTCTGAGATCGGCCCTCGTGGTCTCTGAGCAGTCCAGCTTTTGAGAAAGCGAGCGCCTCTTCGATTGATTCGGAGAACGATGCCTCATCGATTTTTGAGAAAGCAATCATGCTGGGGGTCTGGCTTTCGAAGATTCGGGGAGCAGTGTCTCTTCGATTTTTGAGAAAGTAATCATGTTGGGAGTCTGGCTCTCGAGATTCGGAGGGCGGTGCCTCTTCGATTTTGGAGCAAGCAATCTTGTTGGGAGTGTTTTTCTCGAATGTGAGTAAAGGTTGGGCATGTTTGCTAGTCTACCTTGCCACGAAGCACAGAGGTTGACACACAGGGACTTTCCAATTATCCAGCAATGGTACTGTTCCTTTACCCTCTCTTCGATTTTTAAGAAAGTAGTCATGTTGGGAGTCTGGCTCTCGAGATTCGGAGGACGGTGCCTCTTTGATTTTGGAGCAAGCAATCTTGTTGGGAGTGTTTTCTCGAATGTGAGTAAAGGTTGGGCATGTTTGCTAGTCTACCTTGCCACGAAGCACAGAGGTTGACACACAGGGACTTTCCAATTATCCAGCAGTGGTACTGTTCCTTTACCCTTGTGGGTAATAATATGGTAGCTAGACCTTCAAAATTTATGGGTCTAAACTTTGTTAGTGCTGTTTCTTTGCTATTCTTTTACCCTTCTTGGTCAGAGCGATGTAGTGGGAGCTGCAAGTGCTCAACTTTGGCAGAGAACTTTGGCAAAGTTTTCTGTGGTACCCATGAGCTATTGTTGCGTGTGGGAAGTGGGTGATTGAACAGTAAGATTCATGTGTTTTCTACTTCCCCAGAAGTCTTCGACAGAATGCCCATAATTTCCGCAAAGCTGAGTGTGCGTGTGACAGGTGCTGACAAGGCTGGAAAAGTAGGTGCCTCTTCGATTTCTGAGATCGGCTCTCGTGGTCTCTGGGGAGCCCAGCTTTTGAGAAAGCGGGCGCCTCTTCGATTTCTGAGATCAGCCTTCGAGGTCTTTGAGCAGCCCAACTTTTGAGAAAGCAAACGCCTCTTCGATTTCTGAGCAGGCGCCTCTTCGATTTCTGAAGCTCCGTCGAGTGCAGATTTTTATAGGGGCTGGCATTAAGTTCCAAAGCACACTTGAATCTCCACCAGTAGAAGCTTCATTCTTGCACTTCTAAGATCTTGATTTGTCCGACCTCTTCTCTCTTCAACACCTTTGAAAATGTCTGGCCCCTCCGACCGTCGTTTTGACTTGAACCTTGTTGAAGAGGCAGCCCCGCCTTCTCCAGACAACATATGGCGCCCATCCTTCGTCTCCCCTACTGGTCCTCTTACCGTTGGGGATTCCGTGATGAAGAATGATATGACCGCTGCGGTGGTGGCCAGGAACCTTCTCACTCCCAAAGATAACAGACTACTTTCCAAACGGTCTGATGAGTTAGCTGTTAAGGATTCGCTGGCTCTCAGTGTTCAGTGTGCATGTTCTGTGTCTAATATGGCCCAACGCCTATTTGCTCGAACCCGCCAAGTTGAATCATTGGCGGCTGAAGTGATGAGTCTCAAACAGGAGATTAGAGGGCTCAAGCATGAGAAATAAACAGTTGCACCGGCTCGCACATGACTATGCTACAAACATGAAGAGGAAGCTTGACCAGATGAAGGAAACTGATGGTCAGGTTTTACTTGATCATCAGAGATTTGTGGGTTTGTTCCAAAGGCATTTATTGCCTTTGTCTTCTGGGGCTGTACCGCGTAATGAAGCTCCAAATGATCAACCTCTGATGCCTCCTCCTTCTAGGGTTCTGTCCAGTACTGAGGCTCCAAATGATCCCCCTCCGGTGCCTTCTCTTTCTGGGGCTCTACCGACTGCTGAGACTTCTCCTAAGCAACCTTTGTGAAGGCTCCCTCTTGTGTGTTTATTTTGACTCATGTATATGTACATATTTGTAGCTTATCGGGGATATCAATAAATAAGATTTCCTTCATTTCAACGTATTGTGTTAGATACACCAAAACCTTATTCGCTAAGTTCTTTGAATTTTCTTTTGTTGAAGCTTGTATGTTGAAGCTTTCTGAGTAGAGCATGTAGGTTGGGGTAGTGTTCCCTTAATTTTCCGAGTGAGGAAAACTTCTCGGTTGGAGACTTGGAAAATCCAAGTCACTGAGTGGGATCGGCTATATGAATCTTAGAACGCCATTGTGCTCGATCCTGTGTCATGTCCTTCGTTAGATCCAAGTACTCTAAGTCTTTTCTTAGAGTCTCTTCCAAAGTTTTCCTAGGTCTTCCTCTACCCCTTCGGCCCTGAACCTCTGTCCCATAGTCGCATCTTCTAATCGGAGCGTCAGTATGCCTTCTTTGCACATGTCCAAACCACCGTAACCGATTTTCTCTCATCTTTCCTTCAATTTCGGCTACTCCTACTTTACCCCGGATATCCTCATTCCTAATCTTATCCTTTCTCGTGTGCCCACACATCCAACGAAGCATCCGCATCTCCGCTACACCCATTTTGTGTACGTGTTGATGTTTCACCGCCCAACATTCTGTGCCATACAGCATCGCCGGCCTTATTGCCGTCCTATAAAATTTTCCCTTGAGCTTCAGTGGCATACGGCGGTCACATAACACGCCGGATGCACTCTTCCACTTCATCCATCCAGCTTGTATTCTATGGTTGAGATCTCCATCTAATTCTCCGTTCTTTTGCAAGATAGATCCTAGGTAACGAAAACGGTCGCTCTTTGGTATTTCTTGATCTCCGATCCTCACCCCTAACTCGTTTTGGCCTCCATTTGCACTGAACTTGCACTCCATATATTCTGTCTTTGATCGGCTTAGGCGAAGACCTTTAGATTCCAACACTTCTTCTCCAAAGGTTAAGCTTTGCATTTACCCCTTCCTGAGTTTCATCTATCAACACTATATCGTCTGCGAAAAAGCATACACCAAGGAATATCATCTTGAATATGTCCTGTTAACTCATCCATTACCAACGCAAAAAGGTAAGGACTTAAGGATGAGCCTTGATGTAATCCTACAGTTATGGGAAAGCTTTCGGTTTGTCCTTCATGAGTTCTTACGGCAGTCTTTGCTCCTTCATACATATCCTTTATAGCTTGGATATATGCTACTCGTACTCCTTTCTTCTCTAAAATCCTCCAAAGAATGTCTCTTGGGACCCTATCATACGCTTTTTCCAAATCTATAAAGACCATGTGTAAATCCTTTTTCTCATCTCTATATCTTTCCATCAATCTTCGTAAGAGATAGATTGCCTCCATGGTTGAGCGCCCTGGCATGAACCCGAATTGGTTGTCCGAAACCCGTGTCTCTTGCCTCAATCTATGCTCAATGACTCTCTCCCAGAGCTTCATTGTATGACTCATTAGCTTAATACCCCTATAGTTCATGCAATTTTGTACGTCGCCCTTATTCTTGTAGATAGGCACCAAAGTGCTCGTTCGCCACTCATTTGGCATCTTCTTCGTTTTCAAAATCCTATTGAAAAGGTCAGTGAGCCATGTTATACCTGTCTCTCCCAAAAGTTTCCACACTTCGATTGGTATATCGTCTGGGCCTATTGCTTTTTTTATGCTTCATCTTCTTCAAAGCTACAACCACTTCTTCCTTCCGGATTCGACGATAAAAAGAGTAGTTTCTACACTCTTCGGAGTTACTCAACTCCCATAAAGAAGCACTCATTTCATGTCTTTCATTGAAAAGATTATGAAAATAACCTCTCCATCTGTCTTTAACCGCGTTCTCTGTAGCAAGAACCTTTCCATCCTCATCCTTGATGCACCTCACTTGGTTTAGGTCCATTGTCTTCTTTTCCCTTGCTCTAGATAGTTTATAGATATCCAACTCTCCTTCTTTGGTATCTAGTCGTTATACATATCGTCGTAAGCCGCTAACTTAGCTTCTCTGACAGCTTTCTTCGCCTCTTGCTTCGCTTTTCTATACCTTTCACCATTTTCATCGGTCCTCTCCTTATATAAGGCTTTACAACATTCCTTCTTAGCCTTCACCTTTGTTTGTACCTCCTCATTCCACCACCAAGATTCCTTTTGGTGTGGGGCAAAGCCCTTGGACTCTCCTAATACCTCTTTTGCTACTTTTCGGATACAACTAGCCATGGAATCCCACATTTGGCTAGCTTCCCCCTCTCTATCCCACACACATTGGGTGATTACCTTCTCTTTGAAAATGGCTTGTTTTTCTTCTTTTAGATTCCACCATCTAGTCCTTGGGCACTTCCAAGTCTTGTTCTTTTGTCTTACTCTTTTGATATGTACATCCATCACCAACAAGCGATGTTGATTAGCCACGCTCTCTCCTGGTATAACTTTGCAATCCTTACAAGTTATACGATCCCCTTTCCTCATTAGAAGAAAATCTATTTGTGTTTTTGACGACCCACTCTTGTAGGTGATCACATGTTCTTCTCTCTTCTTAAAGAAGGTGTTGGCTAAGAAGAGATCATATGCCATTGCAAAATCCAAGATAGCTTCCCCATCCTCGTTTTCTCTCCCCAAAACCATGGCCACCATGAAAACCTCCATAGTTGCCTGTCTCCCTGCCCACGTGTCCATTTAAATCTCCTCCTATAAATAACTTCTCCGTCTGAGCAATTCCTTGCACCAAGTCTCCAAGATCTTCCCAAAATTTCTCCTTCGAACTCGTATCCAACCCTACTTGAGGTGCGTACGCACTAATCACATTGATAAGTTCTTGTCCTATTACAATCTTGATTGCCATGATTCTATCTCCTACCCTCTTGACATCTACAACATCTTGTACCAAGATCTTGTCCACGATGATGCCAACACCGTTTCTCGTTCTATTTGTGCCCGAATACCAAAGTTTAAACCCTGAGTTTTCTAGATCCTTTGCCTTACTACCAACCCACTTAGTTTCTTGTAGGCACATAATATTTATCCTTCTCCTCACCATAACTTCCACTACTTCCATAGATTTTCCCGTTAAGGTTCCTATATTCCACGTTCCTAAACGCATTTTGCTCCCTTGAACTCTACCCTTCTGTCCTAGCTTCTTCACCCTCCCCCGTCTAATAGGATCAAAGTACTTCTTTTGTGTGTCCCGGGTAAAGTTGATAGGAGCATATGCTCCCAAACAACTTTGAGTGGAGTCGTTCGAAAAGAAGTTTCTATGGCCCCCTTGCTCATTTAACACTGCATCCGGGTGCCGATGGAGATACAGCGACCCTTGCTCACTTATCACTGTGCTCAGGCCACACAGCGCGCCACTTACGGGTGACGCCCTAGCTTTAGCGCGATTTTGTTCTGGATTCATTTTCATAAGGATTCGACGTGATCATGGAGTGCCGGCTGTCGACTACCTGACGCCCTCCCCCTCCTCCTTTATCCGGGCTTGGGACCGGCCATGTAAGACATAGGCGGAGTTTCCTAAGATGAAATGAGAACAATAAATTAGGTCTCAATCGTCTATTTGCGAATGGGCTAAGTAATGTATATGCCTCAATGCCCCTGTACAGGGAGGACATCCATTCAATCAAAATGACTCCAATTAGACAATTACATTATACTACTTTTCATTTTATATTATTTCTGTTGTGGGGGTACTTTTAGTTCTCAGCTTCCTCAATTTGCATTATAATAGAAAAAAATAACATTACTTATTTCAGTTCAACCATACAATCCATGACTCCATGTAAGAGCCAATATCATGAACCTCCAGAGAGCCACAGCTTTCTTGTTACTCCCCAAGAACAGAGCATTATATTCCAACAAAAGATAATAATCTCAAGGGCAAGCCTGAAAATACCAAACATCCTCAAAACCAAGACTATGTCTTATGAAAGAACAATGTCGAGAGAGGTGCCCATCTCCAATGTGGAGATGAGAAATACATAATCTTTTGTTCTTTTAGTAGGAAACAAGAACTTATTACCAAATAGAACTCGTAAAAAATAAAATACAAGATATGAACCACAAGAGAAAAACAAAAACCAAGGTCCAAACCCATAAACGTAAATCCTATGAAACCCAAGTGTTCGTTCGATAAGCACAGAAAAAAGAAGCAATGAAAAATCATAATCAAACATCTGCACACATCCAATTGAAAGTGCAACCTAAAGGCTTTCTTCTAGTTGATTGACCAGAAATGCTGATACACAACCCCTACAACCTTTCTATTTTCCAGTTCCATGTCTACTCCAAGTCCCAAACCAGATTTCTTAAGAAAATCGTGTTCCTGCCCTCCCACTCCCCAGATGTTAGCACTTCTTACAACCCAAACCAAAGAAATAAAATAAATTCTTTTCAAAATCAAAGTAATTATAGTTCTGAGGAAGCATATGCCAATATTACACGGGGTCATGAAAGCTTCAAAAAAAAAAAGAAGCAATAAAAAACCCAAACCTTGAAAAACAAAAGCTCAATGAGCCATACCGTTCTCGAAGATCCTTTCGCGAGAAGCTAAGATATCACTCTGCATGGAAGCCATGGGAGCACATGAATCGACAGCGCAATCAATCACCATTCACCAATCAGAAAACAAAGTTTCAAGAAATTCACACAATCGATTGGGGAAAGTGAGAAAATGATCGAACCTGATAATTCGGATGCGATGCGGTGGCGACTGAAGTGGGGAAGGTGAGTGAAGCAAGAGGTCCTCCGCAGCAAGCAAAGAAGCGAATGCTTCAGAGACTTGACGAAGGGGTGTAGAGAGAATATGAGAAAAGATAGAGAAAATACCAAGGACGGAGGACGGATGACGGAGGACGAAGCTGTCGCAGAGGAGGGATGACGAGGGTCGTCGCAAAGAGCCGCGAGTGAGGTGGGCGGCGACTCAGCAGAGTGAAGAAGCCTACAGGAATGGAAATCTAGAAGTGTGAAATGGGCGATGACTGATGAGGCCGTGAGTGAATATGAGGGTGGGATTCACTGCTTTGCAATTTGGTGAAACTAATTTTCAACCTAACCTATTATATCATGACATGTGTGTATATATATAATTAATTAATTAATTAATTAATAATAAAACGGTTCTGTTTGATTCCGGCCGGCTCCCGTTCATTTGAAACCGGAACCAAACCGGTTTGAAATAGTTTGGTTCGGTTTTTGACTCAAAGTTGACTTTTTCGATCAACACGGTTATTTTCGGTTTTCTTTTCATACAATTCGATGCAGTTTTGCGGTTTGGTGGTTTTTATGCCCGCCCCTACTACGAAATTCATCGACATCTATCTGGGCTACTAACTAAGAAGGCTGAGGTTGACCGTTTATCCACCTATTCAAGAAGTACAAGATTAATTCTTGGTCTGACGGCTCATCAATTACTCTATCCTTTATCTCATTAAGAAGTTGATGCATGTCGCCATCTTGAAATGTTCTGCCACATCCCATGGCGGAGCTGCCATGGATAGAACAATGGAAAAGAGGGAAAAGAAATGGACTGTCTAGCTTCAAACACCAAGAATGAAAACACCGAAAAAGGTGTTTTCTTACAGACGCTCTTGGGATAAACAAGCTCTATGCATGTAATACTAGAGTAACTATATATGTGCGCGTGATTCTTCAAGACAACATTGCGAATTAAATAAACTCCTTAAATAAATTAAGTTGCAACAAAAAAGCAAAAGTATTCGTGCACTACCTTAAAAATGAGGTAGTTAGTGTGTAGAACTACGTAGAAAACATTGATCACAGGTTAGACCGGTGCAGCTGTTGTTGAAGGTGAGGCCGGCCGATTTGATACCGTGGGAAGAGAAAAATCTCTTCACTGCTGCATTTTATCAAACAGTGGATCTTCATGATCAAGAACTCCAATTTTCTTGGGAATCGGATGATTGTACTTGCCCAATTTTATCTCAGAAGTTGTACAAACTATAGGATTGAGAAGAGAAAGAGAAATTTTCAAGGAGATTGCGGAAGCGCGGGATTGTTTCTTGGCGAGGATACCATGTGAGAATTGAAGAAATGCAGAAAAGAGTGCATAGAGAATTAGAGAGAGAGAGAGAGAGCTTGAAAGTTTTGTAAATTGTTCTTTCGTGATGAAAAGTAATTGTTTTACAAAGAGAAAAGCCACAAGTGCTGAAAGATCAAGGTACTAGACCCATGAATCAGCCCAAGAGATTTAGTAGACCGAGCACTATCTCAGTGATATGTAACGAGCGCATGAATCAGCCCAAGGGATTTAGACCGCTCAAGGCAATTGATTGTTTGGCGACTAAAAGAGACGAGTACAGGGCTTAAAGTTCTTTCGACCGCTCAAGATGCAGGCCAGTTATGTTACGACTTTGACAATTTAAAGGTTATGGAACCTGAGGAAGTTAAAAGCGACATATGAAGATAGAGAGGGGCAAGAGACAGAGGAATGCAGAAATTCTGTATGTTCCAAATGATAACCCTTAGTTTATGGTGGTGTGTTAGCTTTGGTTCATCTGATGAGGGTTTTTGTTTGTGAGGAAACTCTCTCTCTACTTGGAGAGATTTTTCACTGTGACCGGCACACGAAGTGGTATACCACGTGTCACTATACAAATGATGGGATATGTGTATCAAAAAGTTAATAACTTAAAAAGTAAAATTTCTCACCACTTTACATAAAAACACATGATGTATCATCCGTGTTCCCGTCACAATAAAAAATTTGCCCTCTACTTGATCACAATGTAATAAAGCAGATTTGATTAGTATTTCTAACTTTGTCTAACAAAAGTACCTTGGTAAATAAAAATACCAAAAATAAAATATAAATTTATAAGTTGCGTCTAACCCAAGTTATTAAAAACTTGTAAGTCCCGCGTAGGGCTCATGACTAGGAAAAAACGCTCTCACGCCTGCTAGTTATTATCATATGCAAGCAATATTAGTGGTCTTGAGGGTAAAGGTAAAAGTTCTTAACCGAAAAGCCCAAAAAAATTGTAAAAAAAAATAAAATTACAGCTTTTGTTCAAGATTAAAATTAAATGAAAATCTTACACTACAGGGCTATCATAAAACAAATGGCACAAATAAATGATAAAATGCAAAATAAGAAGGTGTGGATTAACATTGTGTTTGTCTAGCCACTTAGAGTTGGTTTGAGATTATGGTGCTTCTAAAAAAAGTAGCTGATTAAAAATTTGGAGCAACACAACAAATGTGCTTGGTAAATATATAAATAAAAATTTAAAAAATTGTTGTCAATGTTATTAGAAAAGTAGAAGCAGAGTCGATCATGCTTCTAAAAAAGGCTTTTGTTTTTCAAAGAATAGTGAACAGTACTCATTTAATGAAATTTTCAAAACAATAAGTATATCTCTGCATACTTTATAAAATTAAAAATTTTGCCCCTGCATTATTCTCTTTGACAATTATTATATCACATTCAAAGTTTGAATCCCCCTACCCTCCTGATAAGAAGAAAATAATGAATAATGGAAATTTTACTTGCTTTGGTATTTTATGTGTGTGAGCCTGCAACATTATATGGCATTAGGGTTGTATTTGATCGATCAATAATAAATTAAATGCAATTTTACATTTGGCTGCAAGGACCAGTTTTTGGTTTTTTGGGAATATGGAGACCAACTCCAATATTTGGAAGGAAGTTTTTTGGCCGCAGACTATACTACTAAGTGGCAAGAAACTTAGGTTTTAACATAAAAGTATGTCACTTAGTATTACATTCTAGTGGTATTCCTCTTCATTTGTAAGTGAGAGGTCTTAGGTTTGTTTAAATGCAAGTTTGAACCATATTATTGCTAACCCATTGTAAGGCTAAGGTCATCCTCTCTCCCTTAGTGTAGATAATATCATTTGTTCACAAAAAAAAAAAAAAAAAAACCCCAAAAGTATTTTTTTTCTCCTCCAATGCAAGATTATTACAAATGAATTTAGGCTTTTTTTTTAAAAAAAAAAACGTTTTTACAAATAAATTTATGTAGATTATCCTAATTTATTTTTAAAGAGGTCGCACTTGGTGCGATGGCAAGTGTCTTCGCCCATGAGCGGTAGGTTTCAGGTTCGAGACTTGGGAGCAGCCTTTCCATAAAATGGGGGTAAGGCTAGCCGACATTCACCTCTCCCAGACCCTGCGTAAAGCGGGAGCCTTGTGCACTGGGTACGACTTTTTTTTTTATCCTAATTTATTTTTAAAGGTTTTTGTCACAAATGATCCCTGAAATTGACCCACCCCATCAAGGTGGTCCCTGAAATTGAAAATCAATCAATGTAGTCCCTGAAAATGAGTGTCGCAAATCAATGTGGTGCTTCCGTCAAATTATGTTAAATGCTGATGTGGCACTTAAATGGGTCCCACAAATTTAATAAAATATTATTTTGTGAATTAAAAATATTTAAATATAAAATAAAATAAATAAATATTTAAATAATAAAAAGAAAAAAAAAGATGATTGAACACTGTTCATCATCTTCTTCCCGTGATAATAATTTTTTTTTAAGTTTTTAAGTTTTAAATTCTTCTTGACATTTCTTGTTCTTAATTTCTTGAAATTTCCTCGTTTTTAGCTTGATTTAGTGTTTTTTCATCTGGGTTTTTTTGATATTTTTTTTAGATTATTGGTTCCGACAGATTTTTGAGATAGATTTTTGTGAAAGAAAATGGAGTTTAGGTGAAGAAAATGAGTTAGATTTCTAGGTTCTTGAAAATTTTCCTGAGATTCTTGAACTTTGTCCATGGGATTGTTCCGGTACCCGTTTCTTTGACGGGGAAACCGGCTAGGAGGCCGTCGAAGGTTCGCCACACGAAGGTGGAGGAACGGGGTGGGAAAATCCAATGGCCACCATGTGTGCGGCCAGGATCTTTCAACTGACCTAGGAACTCGGCCACAATTCTGACGGCGGCACTCTACCCAGAGAGTGGGAGGGGGGTGTGGGGTAGGGGCTGTAGTGGGAGGTTGGGATGGGAAGAAGATGATGAACAGTGTTCAATCATCTCCTTTTTCTTATTTTTTATGTTTCAAGTTTTTAATTTATAAAAACTAAAAATTGTTTTTTAATATTTAAATCTTTTTAATTCACAAAATAATATTTTAATAAAGTTGTGGGACCCATTTAAGTGCCACGTCAACACTTAACAGAAATTTTTAACGGAATTATGACGGAATGTCCACATTGATTTGCGACATTCATTTTCAAGGACTACATTGATTGATTTTCAATTTCAGGGATCACCTTGATGGGGTGTGTCAATTTCAGGGACCATTTGTGACAAAAACCCTATTTTTAATGAATATTTTAATTTAAAAATATTTAGATTCTAATAAATAATGAAAAATCACTAAACCGGCCCCATAGAACATGTGTTTTATGTAAACTCATGGACTAACATAAAAACACTTTCTACATATGTACAAGGAAGTCATAAAATACATGATAGAAATGTATAACACAAGAAACAATATGAAACACATGAAGCAAATACCACCATGGATATTTCCCTTTCCCTGCACCTTCTCTTCTTGTATTTCTCTTTCCTAGCTTTTCTCTCAGTATTTTCCTTTCCTGCCTAAAAATTCTATTAATTGTTATCAAAGCCACAGATCCACCATGGGTCTGTGGTGTGGTTCTGATGATTCGATGATTTCACCCCATCATAAGTTGCATGGATTTCATGACCACTGTCCAGAATTCCAACAAATATATTTGTATACACCAATAGTGCGGGTGTCGGACGATTATGATCTTCCTCTAGCAGCCGATGATTAAGCGAATTCATGACATACACTGTATCTTTACTCTTATTAATAATTTGTCAAAAACCAATGATTTCTGCAAATTGAAATATATTATTAGACGCGCCCTATATCATCGTCTACCGTCGTCCTCGTTTTTGAAAACCGCCGCGAATCCTACTTCTCTCCCACCTCCAGGCACTGTTCTAAAAATCCCCGCCTAGCACCGTCTAGGCGTTAGACGGCTGGTCACCGCCCCGATTAATGCCTAGGCATTTGAAAATTAAGAAAGGACGCCTAGACATGCTGAGGTGCCCGCCTAGACCGCCTAAGTCGACGAGAACAACATCCCCCAAAAGCGCGACAACTCCAAGCCAATTGAAGAGGAGTTGAATAGCTGTGGAGATAACTGTGAAATATATTGCATAAATATATCAATTATTTATATAATCAAATATATCAAATCAAATGTATAATCACTATCAGACTTATGAAATTTACATTAAGAAAAGGAATAAGAATATCTGGCCTGTGAACCAAAGAGAGACGCGATGTCGCTGCTCTAAAGTCGTAGACGCCTCCCTACGTGCAGGTTATGGCGGTGCCTACAACTCCAAGATACAACCCAAAACCTCACAGGATGTCTGATCTGATATGCACGCCAACGGCAGACGGGATTGTCAAGTAGTGATCAATTGCCCAAGAATTATGAAGTATGAATGTAAATAGACTGAGAGAGATGTGAGAATTGAGGGAGACAGAAATGTTTAGCGTATTTTGTTTTCTGTTTGAGGTTTCTTATTTAAAGAACTTCTCATACCCTTTTAGAAAGGATTATGACTCTTCAAATAAAACACAACTCTTAAATATTAAAAATAAATAAAATAAAATAATAATAGGTTTTGAATCTTTAAAATAAAATATAATTAAAATAACCTTGTAATCTTCATCTTGCTATAAATTAGTAGAGAACACCCATCGAAAAAAATCTCTTTGAGGTCGTTATCATCATCAACATACTCATCATAAATTGGTGGGGAATTCCAATTGACAAAACTGATTTCTTCGATAGTATGCTCTTTAAATAAATTGTAAATCACAGCCATAGTCTTCAATTGCAGCGGAAAACCTGCTTTGATGCCACTTGATGTAGAAAAGACCAAGGGGCTCAGAAAGACAAGGGGAAGTAACCTGGGAATCACTCAAACAGGGGCAACAGAATTAGTCACGTCACTAATCGTGGAATCACTCAACACGACCAAGTTTCACACTTGATTTTAAGGAGGAGAAAATCACTCTCTTCTTAGATTGATTATAATTCACTAAATTGACTTCTTAATCTTACATATGGAGCCCTTTAAATAGGAAGGTAACTTACATTGGTAGGATAGGCAATTAATAACATATTATTGTTATAATGCAACCTATAATTAAAATAGACAAAAGCATGACTTTGATAGACGAGAAGCCACCAACATCTATATTTAATATAGGGACCATACTTATTGTAGTGCCTACATCATTTTCTGTTTAACGATCCTTAATTTTTCTTTTCATGTAAATGATTAGTGGAAGACCGAAACAGTTGTTGCTACGGGCTTAATCTAAGGATTAAGGCTAGTCAGGATAGTTGTGGAAGACTGCATCTATTACAAAATCCATTCTGCACACCTTATCGACAAGATTGGAACTCGAGGTGCGAGGGCTTTATTATGATACGTTGCGCTTTGTCAACGGAGCAAAAAGTTTTGGGTTCTAGGAATGATTATTGGGAGATGTCAAAATTATATTACGTTTTTTTGGAGCTTTTGATTTGTACCCATTTAACAAAATGAAACGTGGGAGAAAAAAACCACATTAATATCACATATGCACTTATAAGTAGATATTGTTTGTCGCTATCATTGGGGCATATGTGGCGTAGATTAAATATATTTTTCAGTACCACATTTTTCTTAATCTACCTCTTTCGTAAGTTCTTTTTGTCTTTGCTCTATAATGTAATCCACCTCCATTTATACAAATCAATCTTTTATTTTCTAAAAATATTAACGTTTTTTGTGTTTTTGCTTTATAATGTAGGGGTGTGCTATCCACACACCCCATTTTACTTCTCACACAACCCTTGATAATTTCTGTCAATTGATCTTCTTCAATTCATCTGATCTGACGGCTGAAAATTAAAAAGGTGTGTGAGAAGTAAAATGGAGTGTGTGAATATCACACTCCTATAATGTAATCCACCTCCATTTATACAAATATGTTGTAGGCCTATTGGATTGAACGATCTAGGGTTTAGAGAGAGAGAGGGGGGGGGGGCGGCTATGGTTAGAGAGATTGATTTAATTGTGAGGTGTGTTTGATTCACCCCATTGTGCCCTTTATTTATAGTAGTTAGATAGGTAAAACATTTCCCTTTAGGATTACAACATTTAATAGGTAATCTACTCCTAACAAGAATATAAGATACATTCACATATTCTCTAGGATTTACACAATCACATTCCTATTCTAAATATGACTGCAACAAAATCAATTTTATTTTCTAAAAATATTAAAGTTTTTTGTGTTTGCCCTATAACGTAGGCATATTAACATCATACATGTATATTAACCCTAAAATGGAGGTATCATATGCTTTCATCGTTTTTCAACCTCATTGATCGATCATACATTAAATAGATAGTCATCATGCATATATGCCATATTAGTTGGTACTCTTTTTTCAAATCCTCGCTTACAAACTAGTAGACATAATCCTACATCAAAATCTCAGAAAGAATTGCACAGAACATTTCTTGATCTCATATCATAAGAATTCAGAACTTGTATCTTGAGGTAACTTGCTGCAGAAGAAAGTTGCCCATTCACATCGTACTGAGTCAATATCTTTTGGGGTGTATACCTTCTCAGTGTTGGCAAACTGAAATAAGTATAAGAAGTAAGTTCTATTCCAACCCTATTCTCAAGCAAACCAAACAAAAACAACTAATTATACAAATTCAACATCTAATTCATACTCATGAAATCAATTTTTTAGTAAATAAATGCAAATTAGCACCAAAAGATAGTACCTTAGTGTGAAACGACAGGGCTTGTATCTTCAATTATCTCTTTCATGTATAACATCAGAAAATAGCCACATTCTACCCCACCTTTTTATTGAGGAGTGCCCTGCATTTGTGCACCAAGGTCCAAAATAGGTGATTGTGTATTACATTCTTAGTGATAGTGTAATCAACTAATCGAATGATATTATACCCTAAACTCTAAGATACCTGTAGGATTCTCCACTCCAGTACTTTATTTTGTCTACCAGTTTGCTTATTATATCCTTGAATCCCACTACAACACTAAAACAGACTTAGCTTATAATGAACGATATTTAATCACAAACTTTGGATAACTTGCTATTATAGACCAACTTACGTATCGATAACATCTTTCCAGTCTTTCTGTAGCAGCCGATGATTAAGCGAATTCATGACATACACTATATATTTGCTCCTATTAATAATTGTCAAAAACCAATGATTTCTGCAAAATTGAAATATATTATTAGACGCGCCCTATATCATCGTCTACCGTGGTCGTCGTTTCCGAAAACCGCCGCGAATCCTGCCTCTCTCCTACCTCCAGGACAACATTCGGGACTTGGTGGGTAATCCCTTCCCTAATTTGTTGAATTTTTTTTCTTATGAACAATAGATAGTAATTAGTGACTCTTGACTTTTTTCGGGTTTTGTCTTCGAAATGTTTTCAACATTAAAAAAGAAACATAAAATATAAAAGTTGACCTTGGTTAGACACATGGCAAGATTTAAAATGTGTGGTGAACATGCACAGTCTTTTAAAATCGGAAGGATTCTCTCCCATCGTATTCTAATCCCTCTCATACTTTATTTTTTTATCTTATTATCTCTATAAAAAAATCAATATAAGATGTTGATGTGACCTAACCGTAACCGTTCAAGTAGGAGGAGATGTAAGTGAGAAGAGATTAGGAGGGGAGAGAATCCTCCTCCTTTAAAATCTCCTCAAATTCTAGTTTGACTACACCTCTTAAAGTTTAGAACCCTAACCTTATTTCTCCTCTAATTTTGCAGCGTTAAAATCCTAAAAGCTCCTGAATTTTCCTCTTCTTCCCCAAACATTTCCCGCAAAAATACCTTCTCCTAACCATTACCTTTGGCAACTTTCCATTAAAATCTTCAATTCGTCTGGTCTCTCACTACTTGGGAAAAAAAATCAGCACAGGAATTAATGGAAATCGAGAAGGATTTCCCCTCGTCCGATTTCTTCTTTACAAAGTATAGTTACTTAAACAAGGGTAACGTACTCTCTTGTTCTTATTATTGTTAATTGTTATCCTTACCTTTTATTAAAACAAATACTTTGACATATGAACCTTTCCATGACTATGTGCGCAAGAAGACCTGCTAGAAGCTCAGCCCATGCTGAAACATGCTCTACAATTTTATGATATTTCATGCACACTAGATCTGGTATGTCCTAATAAATAATAACTTATATTCTTTGCGCAATCCACTCAGGATTGATGAGTGTTAATTCAAATAAATGGTCAGGATGAGGGTTTCATGACATTATCGGCACTCCGAAGGCATGTGCACGAAGACATTTTCATCAAGGCTAACGTTGTTATTAACCTTTTTTTCGAAGATAATATTTCGAAAGTAGCCAAGTTTCGGTCGGCAGATCCTTTGCTATCTGTAAGATATGAGTTCAATTGATTTGAAGTTAATTTTTCAATGCTTTTTCTCCTCTTTTCCGGAAACAGCATATGAAGGAAATTGATCCTATTCTGTATAAATTTCCTAACTTGTTTTATTGCAGGCACTAGAATTTCTCTATAATCCTCAATATGACATAATCAAAATTGGGTATCAAGTGGGCGGGCTTTGCTCAAAATATGCAATCCCAGAGGTGTGTATGGCTTACATTTCGTACGTGCCTGCAAATTTTTCTTATAAGTGATAAACTCTCAATATTATATGGAAAAACTCACTTTTGATCATATTGGTCTAATAATTGAATGCAGGGCCATTACTGGGGATTGAGGTCAATTTTTCAGGGTCCCGGGGGCTGCTTTCTAAAGGTGCATAGAGGGATTTAAATTTGAAACCATGTTTACTGTCCCCGTTCACAAAAAGACACAAATAGAGATATCAAAAGGCAAAAATATATCTCACGTTTTGTTATGGACGTATTTAATTTTCTTCTAGCAATGTTTTACAATATAACTGGCGTGCAGGATCTACAAGAATTGACGGGTTGTTCTATCGTTGTTTGTGTAAGTATTATTCCTTTTCCCTTCCTATTAATGTTTGACTTGTATACCTCTTTCTGGTTTTGTACATCTTAAACAGAACCACGAGATGAAGTGAGTTTTATTTTTTTTTATTTTTTTATTTTTAATGTAATTAGTTTTAAATTCTATTAAATTAACAGGGACACGATGTTCTGGCTACGGGTTCATTTAATGGTCTAAGGATAGTCAGGATGATTGTGGAAGACTGCTTTGTTTATCGTGTTGCTGCCGAGTACCTTATCAATAGGGTTAAAGAGGCGGGTGTTCATTGTGCCAGGGTGATGAATGGTATTCAAGATTCGCATATCTGAATTGTTGTGATTTGTAACTGCATACCTTTCTTTTTCTTCTCATTATTTTCTATATTCGATCGTATCATTATTAATTTACCTAATTGATTTCTAGTAGGGTTTCAAAACAAGCAGCATGGACCATTGGAGGTCGACGAGAACGGCATCCCCCAAAAGCGCGATAACTCCAAGCCAATTGAAGAGGAGTCGAACAGTTGTGGAGATAACATCTATTACCGTACGAATTTTCCCAAAGACAAAGGTGACCTTCCTGTCCTCTTATTATTAATTTGTTATCCGTTTGAATGGAGCAATTTGGATTTGGTTGTGTGTTTTAAATTGTTACTCATAAATTACAATCATACAGTTTGAGATAACTGATTTCAAATAAACCTTCACTGTTATATGCAGAAAAGTATGTGCTAGAAGCTTGGCCGAAGGTGAAATCTTTCTTAGAAGAGCATGGTATTTCATGCGAACTCCATCTGGTATTTCATTATTACAACTCTTCCAGAGACTATGTACATCTACTCTAGATTAGATGCCCTTGTTAATGCCCTGTCAATTTGTTTCAAATTATCTACCCTAGAGAGTTAGAGACTTTAGCATAAATTTCAAAGAAGTTTCATTGCCAAATGTTTTGGCTATTAGGGTTAAGGTTATGGACATTTTGGCCACCTTGGCTTCTTACTTATCTTCTTTGGTTTGTGTCTTATACAAAAAACAAGTTGGCCCCTAAGGTTGAGAGTTTTATGATAATCTCAAGAGCGAAATGGGATGTGGACCAAGATATTTTTGATAAGGCTAGGGTTGTTCTTGACCTTTTGCCAAGTGATCGGACACCTCAGGTACATAAGACATCTTTAATTTTATTGTTTTCTTGCATGTAACCTGTCATCTATTCTGTCAGATAATTTATTTTTTTTGTTTTGCCAATGAAATTCCTTTTCTCCTCTGTGATGTCTATTTTGTATTTTTTTTTCTGATTTGAGTAACAATTTATTTATTTATTTCAGGCAATAGAATTGTTGAATGCAAGGCAGTATGAGATCATCAAGTTTGGGAATCAAGATTACGGGTTAATCTCAAAATTTGGAATCAATAAGGTTTAATAAATTTTTGAACAACTAATGTTGTGGGAATAGAGTGAGCTTAGGCAGCTATGTAAATCTCTGCAATTGCGTGCAGGTGGAACCTGGTGAATGGAAGGAACTTCTCATAGGCCCCGATGATATCTACATAAAGGTGAATAAAAGTTACTTAAGATTTTGAACCTTGAGTCTTAAAACGAAAAAGATATACCCTACGAAAATGAATAGTTGGTTAATTCTTTCTCCGAGCTGTTTGTTTACCATATATGATTGGGATGCAGGCACTTAGAGAACTGACAGGTTGTTTTATCGTCGTTAATGTAAGTGTTAATCTTTCTTTGTAATTTTGGTTGCTACATTAGACACTACCTTTTTCTGTTCAATGATTCTTAATCATGTAAATGATTAGTGGAAGACCGAAACAGTTGTTGCTACGGGCTCATTCGAAGGATTAAGGCTAGTCAGGATAGTTGTTGAAGACTGCATATATTACAAAGTCCATGCTGGACACCTTATTGACAAGATTAGAACTCGAGGTGCAAGGGCTTATTATGGTACTCTGCGCTTTGTTAAAGTAGCAGAAAGTTTTGGGTTCTAGGAAGGATTATTGGGTGATGTCAAAATTACATTACATTTTTTGGAGCTTTTGATTCATACCTTTAACAAATGAAATGTGGAAAATAAACCACATATATTAATATTACACATTTGCATTTATATTATATGTAGATATCATTGATCTCTATCATTGGGGCATATGTGTCGTAGATTAAATTTACTGAAAATTTAACTTTCCCCCTCCAAACTCATTTTTTCTAGCCTCTAGCCCATCATATAATATTTATCCGAATAAAACCCAATGATTAGGATCCAACTAAGCAACTTACCAAATTAAGTTTGTGTGTCTGTTTTTATAATTTTTGGATCCCTAATACCCCATCTAAGCAAGTATGGAAAGTTCTTGTAATTTTGTTTTAATTGATCACGTGCATTGAATTTGGCAAGGTCTTGTAGCCATGAAATATGGTTCTAGATGGAGGAATTGATTTGGAAATTTTGAGTTTTGACAATAAATTTCAATTTGAATATACCTAATTTAGTGTTTATTTTCAACAATATCTATTGTTTAATTTTATGAAAATAATTCACCCATGAAAATTAATTTTATGAAAACAATATCTATTGTTTAATTTTATACCTACAGTATAATTACATGAAAATAGTTTACCTACTATGAAAATTAATTTTTTGAAAACAATATCTATTGTTTAATTTTATGAAAATAATTTACCTATTGTTTAATTACATGAAAATTAATGTGCCTACTTTTTAAATTTGTAACAAAAATAATTTACCTACTTCTTTTTATGGTATTAGTATACATAAATGTAGAATATATGTCCGTATATATTTGATCTAATTAGGTTTTGGATTGGAGGAGTTCACACAAAATTAATATATTAAACAAATTAAATGTCTAAAAGAAACGTATAAGAGATTTGGTGGCATGATTTTGTAAATAAACACAAATTCATGGACATCTTTTATCCAACATGACATCATATTTAAAATTTGAGTTTTATTTAGAAGTTATAATATATGTGGGTTTTTATCTAGAGTTTAAGAGTTGCAAGGATTTAAATCTAAAGAACCGTATAAAAATATCGAAATAAAATATAAATTTATAAGTTGCGTCTAACCCAAGTTATTAAAAACTTGTAAGTCCCTCCTAGTGCTCATGACTAGGAAAAAACACTCGAATTTCAAAGCGTGGTCAAAGGCAAAAGTTCTTAACAGAAAAGCCACAAAAAATTTGTAAAAAAAAAAAAAAAAAAAAAAAACAGCTTTAGTTCAAGATTAAAATTAAATGAAAATCTTACACTAAAAGGCTATCATAAAACAAATGGCACAAATAAATGATAAAATGCAAAATAAGGTGTGGATTAACATTGTGTTTGTCTAGCCGCTTAGAGTTGGTTTGAGATTATGGTGCTTCTAAAAAAAGCAGCTAATTAAAAATTTGGAGCAACACAACAAATGTGTTTGGTAAAACAAAAAAAAAAATTCTAAACATTGTTGTCAATGACAATAGAAAAGTAGAAGCAGAGTCTTTCATGCTTCTAAAAAAGTTTTTTTTTTTCAAAGAATAATGAACAGTGCCCATTTAATGAAATTTTCAAACCATAAGTATACCTCTGCATACTTTATATAATTCAAATTTGTGCCCCTGCAATCTGCATTATTCTCTTTGGCAATTATTATATCACATTCAATAACATATCATTTTAGTCATTTAACATATCCACATTAATTTTATATAAAAGTTTATCAAACACTCAGACACTGTTTTTTTTTTGTTATAAGCACAAAAAAAAAGTTTATCAAACACTTAACAACTTTATTTTACAATTGTTTATTCTTGAAGCACAACAGAAATATTTTACAATTGTTTATTCTTGAAGCACAACAGAAACAATTTTTTTTTAAAAAGCACAACAATATCAAACTAGCTCTTAGTATTTCAGTCTAATGGTATTTCTCTTTACTTGTAAGTGAGAGGTCTTAGATTTGAATCTCGGGAATGGCAAGTGGCAACCAATATATTCCCTAACCCCCTCAATGTAAAAATATCATAATTTTATTCGAACCCATGTTTTGCATCTCTACAGTCACATTCTATTTGATTTTTTTTTAACAAACGATATTTATCTACACTAAGGGACTAGGGAGTGGGCTAAGCCTCACGATGGGCTAGTAATAATGTGGTTCAAATTCGTCTTTAGCGAGAATCGAACATAAGAATCTCACTTACAATGGGCTAGCAATAAAGTGGTTTACATTCTATTTGATTTATGTATTTATTATATCTTTGTATCCAACATTAGTTCCTAAAAACCACCCTCGCTTGTGAAAACCCAACTCAATTATCTAAACTTCTTTTTACACTCAACTAGTTATTAAGAAATGCAAAAATTAAAGGCGACTCTAATAAAGTACAGAACCCTAACAAAGTTAATTTTTGGTTGCTACTAGAAAACCCTAACAAAATTTTGATCCACCTTTTGCCCACATCAGCATAATCCATACGCAATTATAAAGGTTTTGCATAACCATATTCCTTGAATGGTGATGAACATTGTAAACAAGGAATCCGGGTGACAACGTATGATCACAATATTGCTGGTGTAGGCGGGAAAAGTTTCCACACCAAAATGGTCTGGTAGACTGACACAGAACCAAAAATCTTACGCCTTGTGGGTGTTAATTAACCAAATACACTGGAAACCTTTACTCTGTAATCTGATATGATACTAGTGTAATTCTTGTAATTTATCGTAGAAATTTTATAAATGTTGGAATAATGGGTGACATGCCTGCCAAATTAGCTATTGTGAATTGATTAGCTGAGAGTACAGGGTTGTTACTTGGTTAGTTAGTGGCTTAGCTTGCAAGTCAAGTATATAGCTTGTCAATTGTGCAATGCAGGCAATCAAGAAGAATGTTGTAATGTCTCAGTAGTATACTTAGCCAAATATTCATAACGTCTAGAATTCTCATTGAAAAGAAACTCCATCCAGATCTCAAAAAATCATATATGCAAATCTCGAATACCATTCATCGCACTCCAACCATGCAAACCCTCCTTTGTAACCCTGGCGATAAGGGATTCAGCAGAAACTTTATAAACAAAGCAGTCTTCCATAACCATCCTGACTATCCTTAGTCCATTAAATGAGCCCTTAGCAAAGACAACGTCGTCCTGATCATTTACAAGCAAATTAAGACTCATTTAGTAGGGGGGTGATTTGCAACAATCACAATTAGATCAAATGGAGGTTCTGTTAAGATCAGGTCGATATGACCATATGGTTTAGACTAAAAGGATGTAGAATACAGACATCTTAATATAAAATTAAAAAAGGAACAATAACACTTACATGAACAACAACGAAACAGCTCGTCAATTCTTGAAGGGCCTGCATCCCAAATTCCCGATTATATTTATGAAATTTAATTAAACAAGTAGAAGGAAGGAATTAAACATGTTCCTAACAAAACGTGAAGCTATATGTACCTTTAGATAGGAACAGTTAGGGCCTACAAGAAATGCCTTCAGTTCAGGAAATAGTTCCTGCATGCACACAAGATTATACCAAGCTGAAAATTAGAAAGTTTTTGCATATCTTCAGCATTAAAGAAAGGAGGCCTAGACCTGTCTAGGCACTCCCTAGGTCTCAACTCTCACTTAGACAGAAAATAAATAACTTTAATTTGTATTTTCTTTTTTCAATAAATTGTATGAGACTTGTTAAATACTTGATTGAACACTCATTATACATTGTTCTTCTTGTTTTCAATATGTTTCAATACTTTATAATTTATATATAATTCTACTCCATGTTTTCAATATGTTTTAATACTTTATAATTTATATATTATTCTATTTTGTAATTTACGTATCCCAATAAAATTATATGTTTTTTTTAAGTATAAGTAGACGTTTAAATTTATATGTTCTATAAAAATTAAAAATTCGCCTAGACCCCAGCTGACGCCTGACTAGCGCCTAGCATCTTTTAGAGCCTTGGTTACACATAATGAGATATGTAAAAGGACAATTAGTTAGGGCTGGGTTCGGTTCTTAACAGTTCGGTTTTTTGCCAAAACCGAAACTGAACCGAAATTTCGGTTCGGTTCAATTTTTTTTCGATTTTTTTTTGTTTGGTTTTTTTCGGTTCGATTTCGGCCCGGTTCGGGTTTTTTATTTTTTTTTAATTTTTTTTATCCTCCCGTTCTTCGTCTTCTTCAATAGCAAAAAGAATTCTGAATTGCCGAAAAAATTGAATACATTCTTCAATCAATCCTCAAATGCACTTAATAAGATACCTTAAAACAAACATATACAATTGGTTATTGGCAAATTACATCTAAACCAATCAAGAAATTTAAGTGCACCATCGGGAAACATATGAGATTTAAGCTGCTTATCAGCAATTAAACAACAATCCTTGCATTTCTTAATTTCCAAGTGAATCAAATTACATTCAAGAAATTTGAATTATGCATTACAGCTGACATCTACCATTTCACCCTTCTACTACCATGTACAATCAAGAAAAGCAAAACAGGTGCAGCATAAAAACCTATAAATCGACAAATAAATAAGAGAGATTGGGGATCTTTGGTGAAGGGAGGGCTGTTGCGGGTTATGGAGAAAAATCCAACAGTAGAAAAACTATTTCATAAACCACAAACAGAAAACTCCTAATTTACCAAATTAAAATCAACCAACAACACAACACAAAAACAAAACCAAATTAAAATCAACCAAACGAAAAAAATAAACACAACCAAACGAAAAAAATAAAACACAACCAAATTTAAATCAACCAAATTAAACACAACCAAACCAAAAAAATAAATCTTTTTTTTTAAATTAATAGTTAAAATAAGGAAGAGATTGAACCGATTCGAACTCCCTCTGCCATCCTCCTCTGCTTCCGATTCGAAAGGGGGCGAGGGAAAATTATGATTTGGAAGAGAGAGAGAGAGAGAGAGAGAGAGAGAGAGAGAGAGAGAGAGAGAGAGAGACTGAGGAAGCAGAGAGATAGGAAGAAAGTAGCGGAGGGGAGAGAGAGAGAGTATGAGAAAAGGCGAAAACTGAAATGGAAGAGAGAGTGACGGCTAGGGTTTGTAAACTTAAGAAATTTTATAAAAGCATTACATATTAAAAACCTATAAATATATTTCGGGTACAATTATAACAACACAAGCCCATAGTCAAGTTGTCTGGAAACAGCTATCCCCAATCTCTAGGTCAGGGGTTCAAACCTTGACGCCAACACGTTTTTTAGTATTTATATTATATATATAAATTATTTTTTTTTCGTGGTCTTGAGGGTAAAGGTAAAAGTTCTTAACCGAAAAGCCCAAAAAAATTGTAAAAAAAAATAAAATTACAGCTTTTGTTCAAGATTAAAATTAAATGAAAATCTTACACTACAGGGCTATCATAAAACAAATGGCACAAATAAATGATAAAATGCAAAATAAGAAGGTGTGGATTAACATTGTGTTTGTCTAGCCACTTAGAGTTGGTTTGAGATTATGGTGCTTCTAAAAAAAGTAGCTGATTAAAAATTTGGAGCAACACAACAAATGTGCTTGGTAAATATATAAATAAAATTTAAAAATTGTTGTCAATGTTATTAGAAAAGTAGAAGCAGAGTCGATCATGCTTCTAAAAAAGGCTTTTGTTTTTCAAAGAATAGTGAACAGTACTCATTTAATGAAATTTTCAAACAATAAGTATATCTCTGCATACTTTATAAAATTAAAAATTTTGCCCCTGCATTATTCTCTTTGACAATTATTATATCACATTCAAAGTTTGAATCCCCCTACCCTCCTGATAAGAAGAAAATAATGAATAATGGAAATTTTACTTGCTTTGGTATTTTATGTGTGTGAGCCTGCAACATTATATGGCATTAGGGTTGTATTTGATCGATCAATAATAAATTAAATGCAATTTTACATTTGGCTGCAAGGACCAGTTTTTGGTTTTTTGGGAATATGGAGACCAACTCCAATATTTGGAAGGAAGTTTTTTGGCCGCAGACTATACTACTAAGTGGCAAGAAACTTAGGTTTTAACATAAAAGTATGTCACTTAGTATTACATTCTAGTGGTATTCCTCTTCATTTGTAAGTGAGAGGTCTTAGGTTTGTTTAAATGCAAGTTTGAACCATATTATTGCTAACCCATTGTAAGGCTAAGGTCATCCTCTCTCCCTTAGTGTAGATAATATCATTTGTTCACAAAAAAAAAAAAAAAAAAAACCCCAAAAGTATTTTTTTCTCCTCCAATGCAAGATTATTACAAATGAATTTAGGCTTTTTTTTTTAAAAAAAAAACGTTTTTACAAATAAATTTATGTAGATTATCCTAATTTATTTTTAAAGAGGTCGCACTTGGTGCGATGGCAAGTGTCTTCGCCCATGAGCGGTAGGTTTCAGGTTCGAGACTTGGGAGCAGCCTTTCCATAAAATGGGGGTAAGGCTAGCCGACATTCACCTCTCCCAGACCCTGCGTAAAGCGGGAGCCTTGTGCACTGGGTACGACTTTTTTTTTTATCCTAATTTATTTTTAAAGGTTTTTGTCACAAATGATCCCTGAAATTGACCCACCCCATCAAGGTGGTCCCTGAAATTGAAAATCAATCAATGTAGTCCCTGAAAATGAGTGTCGCAAATCAATGTGGTGCTTCCGTCAAATTATGTTAAATGCTGATGTGGCACTTAAATGGGTCCCACAAATTTAATAAAATATTATTTTGTGAATTAAAAATATTTAAATATAAAAAATAAAATAAATATATTTAAATAATAAAAAGAAAAAAAAAGATGATTGAACACTGTTCATCATCTTCTTCCCGTGATAATAATTTTTTTTAAGTTTTTAAGTTTTAAATTCTTGACATTTCTTGTTCTTAATTTCTTGAAATTTCCTCGTTTTTAGCTTGATTTAGTGTTTTTTCATCTGGGTTTTTGATATTTTTTTAGATTATTGGTTCCGACAGATTTTTGAGATAGATTTTTGTGAAGAAAATGGAGTTTAGGTGAAGAAAATGAGTTAGATTTCTAGGTTCTTGAAAATTTCCTGAGATTCTTGAACTTTGTCCATGGGATTGTTCCGGTACCCGTTTCTTTGACGGGGAAACCGGCTAGGAGGCCGTCGAAGGTTCGCCACACGAAGGTGGAGGAACGGGGTGGGAAAATCCAATGGCCACCATGTGTGCGGCCAGGATCTTTCAACTGACCTAGGAACTCGGCCACAATTCTGACGGCGGCACTCTACCCAGAGAGTGGGAGGGGGGTGTGGGGTAGGGGCTGTAGTGGGAGGTTGGGATGGGAAGAAGATGATGAACAGTGTTCAATCATCTCCTTTTTCTTATTTTTTATGTTTCAAGTTTTTAATTATAAAAACTAAAAATTGTTTTTTAATATTTAAATCTTTTTAATTCACAAAATAATATTTTAATAAAGTTGTGGGACCCATTTAAGTGCCACGTCAACACTTAACAGAAATTTTAACGGAATTATGACGGAATGTCCACATTGATTTGCGACATTCATTTTCAAGGACTACATTGATTGATTTTCAATTTCAGGGATCACCTTGATGGGGTGTGTCAATTTCAGGGACCATTTGTGACAAAAACCCTATTTTTAATGAATATTTTAATTTAAAAATATTTAGATTCTAATAAATAATGAAAAATCACTAAACCGGCCCCATAGAACATGTGTTTTATGTAACTCATGGACTAACATAAAAACACTTTCTACATATGTACAAGGAAGTCATAAAATACATGATAGAAATGTATAACACAAGAAACAATATGAAACACATGAAGCAAATACCACCATGGATATTTCCCTTTCCCTGCACCTTCTCTTCTTGTATTTCTCTTTCCTAGCTTTTCTCTCAGTATTTTCCTTTCCTGCCTAAAAATTCTATTAATTGTTATCAAAGCCACAGATCCACCATGGGTCTGTGGTGTGGTTCTGATGATTCGATGATTTCACCCCATCATAAGTTGCATGGATTTCATGACCACTGTCCAGAATTCCAACAAATATATTTGTATACACCAATAGTGCGGGTGTCGGACGATTATGATCTTCCTCTAGCAGCCGATGATTAAGCGAATTCATGACATACACTGTATCTTTACTCTTATTAATAATTTGTCAAAAACCAATGATTTCTGCAAATTGAAATATATTATTAGACGCGCCCTATATCATCGTCTACCGTCGTCCTCGTTTTTGAAAACCGCCGCGAATCCTACTTCTCTCCCACCTCCAGGCACTGTTCTAAAAATCCCCGCCTAGCACCGTCTAGGCGTTAGACGGCTGGTCACCGCCCCGATTAATGCCTAGGCATTTGAAAATTAAGAAAGGACGCCTAGACATGCTGAGGTGCCCGCCTAGACCGCCTAAGTCGACGAGAACAACATCCCCCAAAAGCGCGACAACTCCAAGCCAATTGAAGAGGAGTTGAATAGCTGTGGAGATAACTGTGAAATATATTGCATAAATATATCAATTATTTATATAATCAAATATATCAAATCAAATGTATAATCAATTATTTATATTGCATAAATATATCAATTATTTATATAATCAAATATATCAAATCAAATATATCAATTATTTATATAATCAAATATATAAAAGGGTTAAAAGTTTTAAAAGTGTTCTCTAACAAGTAAAAGTGCTTCTTCTCCGTAACTAGTGGAAGAACTTAAAATGCTTACAGTGAAGTGTTTTTAAAATGATTGAAAACGCTTTTGATGAAAGTATTTTTGGAACCAACCCTTAGTAAATATGCAATACATCCTAGAAAAGTATTTGAAGTGTTTCCTGCAAAAAAACACGTAAATGGTGTTTCTTCCAAGATAAAATGCTTTTGAAAGTTAAAAACACTTTTACTAAAAGCACTTCCAATCATTTTAAAAATATTTCCAAACATGCCTCTAATTTGCAGGAAAACAACCTGGTAGGTGCTTCTTCATGAAACACGTAGATTTTGAATACATATTTTGACATGGTTATAGTAGACATAATACAAAGAAAGAGTCTCAAACAACCCCTTTAATCTTGCACTGAAATTTTCCTTTGTTGAGACTGCATACAAATGATTAATTTTTGCATTTTTTAAATTTCTTTTTCTGATTTGAGTACACAACATTTTGATTCCAGGCAATAAAACTGCTGAATGCAAGGCAATATGAGATCATCAAGATTGGATATGAAGATGACGGGCTAATCGCAAAATTTGGGATCGATGAGGTATTGCTTAAAATCCCTTCCAGTATAATTACCCTGGACATTTTTATGATTTTACCATGCAAGAAATATACGCTACTAAACTCTTGTTGTTTATGTGTTTGAATCATTCTTTTTAATTGTGTTGCCGGAGCTATCAGTTTCTGCATTTTAATATGTTGATTAGTTGAAACTTTTGTTTCATGTTAGAAAGGTTTGAAGTTTATGTAGGCTTAAAGAAACATGAACTAATGTTGTGAGAATACAATGAGCCTAGTCAGACCCAAGACTTTTTTCTAATAAGTTGGTGATATGCAAATACTCACACTTTTCGGCTTGTTCTTTCCAAATATACTACTATTGATTGCAGAGGGAATGTGATGAACGGAAGGAACTTCTCCTTGGCCCAGATGATATCTACATAAAGGTGCCTATAAGCGACTTGAATTTAAAGCATGTGCTCAAAATAGTTTAATTCTTTCTGCTAACTGTTTTCTGATTTTTTTTTACCATGTATATCTGGGATGCAGCCACTTGAAGAACTAACAGGATGTTTTGTCATCGTTAACGTAAGTGTTGATGTTTTCTTTTTTATTTTGATGGTCGCATCGCACTGGACATTTATTTTTCTACTTAATGACCTTTTTTTGGTAAATGATTAGTGGAACACCGATACTGTTATAGCTACGGGCTTGTTTGAAGGACTAAAGCTAGTCAGGATGATTGTGGAAGAGTGCATCGTTTGTAAAATTCCTGCTGTCGACATTATCAATAAGATTAGAACTCGGGGCGCTGGGGCTTTATTATGGTAATATCTTTCTTGTTTCTGAGGTGATATACGTATATGGACTCTTGAGGTCCAAATCAGTTCAATCTATCAAAACGTCACACAAAAAATTGTAATTGAAGGATCAAGGATAATATCTTAATGCAGTTTTATCAAGGTCTAGTAATACTATCTCAGATGTTGGAAAACGTCCTAAGTTTGAATATGAATAATAGAAATTTTCCTTGCTTTAGTATTTTATGTGTGTGCACACCTGCAACATTATATGGCATTAGGGTTGTATTTGATCGATCAATCATAAATTAAATGCAATTTTACATTTGGCTGCAAAGACCAGTTTTTGGTTTTTTGGGAAGATGGAGACCAACTCCAACATTTGGAAGGAAGTTTTTTGGCAGCAGCTGCTGCACTTTGAGACGAGAGGAATTTGTTAGCTTGCTCTCAAATGGTCCTTTTTTTCTTTTTCTTTTTTTAATGAAACGATAGTTGAATCTAATTATGAAAAACAAGTCAGTCAGGCGGGGGGAATCCTCACGGAGGATATCAAGGATTAAGCCCGCCCATGGGGGGTGTACCCAATTACAATCATGATAGAAGTAAGATCATATCTCACTTACAAGTGAAAATGAATATCACTAGACCGTAGTACTAAGTGAGAGGTCCTAGGTTTGATTCTCGCCAAATGCGAGTCTGAACCATATTATTACTAGCCTATTATGAGGTTAAGCCAAAACCCCATCATCTCTCTTGTGTAGATAATATCGTTTGTTAAACAAAAAAATCCAAAAGTATTTTTTCTCCTCTAATGCAAAATTATTAAAGAATGAATTTAGGCATATTTTTTTTGTAACTTTTTTAAAAATAAATTTATGTATATTATCCTAATTTATTTTTAATGAATATTTTAACTTAAAAATATTTAGATTCCAATAAATAATAAAAAATCACTAAACCAGTCCCATGAAATGTTAAAGTCATGGAACATGTGTTTTATGTAACTCATGGACTAACACAGAAAACACTTTCTACATATTTACAAGGAAGTCATGAAACAAATGATAGAAATGTATAACACACGAAACTGTTCGTTCCGTTTGGTACGCAGACGAGACAGAACAAGACGGGACGGGACGGGACGGAACAGGATGGAACGGATGATGTAAATATTGAAAAATATAAGGAGAAATTTTGTCATAAAATGTTACAAATTTGTGTTCCACGGATGTGGAACGGGTCGTTCTAGGGGGAAGAGGTGGAACGAAAAATCAGCCAAATTTCGTCCCATGGGACAACCCGTTCCACAGTTTTTAGGCGCACCAAACGTGGGACGGAATGGCCCGTCCCGTTCCGTTCCGTCCCGTCCCACGTACCAAACGGTACCTAAATTCGCCATGGGCCTTGCGGGCATACCGGGAATTTACTCAAACATGAGATTGGTGGGTGCGGGCATGCCACTACTAGATGCCGCTTGTAGACGAGTTTTGAATAATTGAGGTTGCGCCTAAGTTTGACTTCAAATCAAGAGATTGTGCCATTGAGTGGGAGTAGTTCAAATTAAAGTTCTTTATTTGCCTTAAAGATAAGGACTTTTCTTATATGGATAGATGGAACAATATGTAAATGGCAAGGGAAAGTGAATGACTAATATTGCATATTGCTTGTAGATTAAATGACTGGAAATGAGTTGTACATAAAGACTACAAATGAGATTGATACTACTGGTGAGCAGCAGAGCTATTAAACTAGACAAAAAATGGCTTTTGTGAGGGCTGATCCTGAAAATGATTGAGGTTGGGGGCTAACTACAGCTTCGTATGCAAATCTGGCTTGAGCAGAGTTTGTGTATTTGTTTGTTTGATTGGTTGAGTGTCAATAATCCTTATGCATCTGCTTCTTTATATAGAGATCTGAAAGAGCCCCCTCTGCTAAGAACAATGAACTTGCCCGAAAGAAACTCCTATACAGCTTGCATTGTGAAATAATATTAAAATAAGCAAGTTTGTATCTCTACCACATGTCTCCACCACTTGCAATAAACTAACATTTAAAATAAGGTGGCTTCTTTCACATGTTCTCTTGAAAGAATGTCTGTGTGCCTTTCCAATCCACTTGAAAGCATGCAATTGTTTTAATTAAAGAAAGCTCTTGACAAACCTCCACCACCAAAACAAAAGGGCAAAAACAATATTATAATGTTTAAACTATCTCACTTGCATCCAAATATCTCTCTAAGTTCAATGTTTTGTCTCATCATCCTCCAAATGTCATATTTGCCATATTTAGCCCGAATGACACATTTTAGGTGTAAACAGAAACAATATGAAACACATGAAGCAAATACCACCATGGATATTTCCCTTTCCCTGCACCTTCTCTTCTTGTGTTTCTCTTGCCTAGCTTTTCTCTTTCAGTATTTTCCTTTACAGGCTAAAAATTCTATTAATTGGTATCAAAGCCACTGATCCACCATGGGTCTGTGGTGTGGTTCTGATCATTCGACGATTTCACCCCATCATCCCCACGGTTCAAGGTTTCATGGATTTCATGACTGCCGTCCAGAATTCCAACAAGTATATTTGTATACACCAATAGTGCGGGTGTCGGACGATTATGATCTTTCTCTAGCAGCCGATGATTAAGCGAATTCATGACATACACTGTGAACTTATTTGCATGTGCTTTGAAATGACTGAAAACGTTTTTGATGAAAATATTTTTAGAACCAATCATTAGTAAAGATGCAAGTAAATCTTGAAAAAAACACTTAAAGTGTTTCCTAGAAGAAGCGCATAACTGGTGTTTCTTGAAGAAATCACTTAAAGTGCTTTTAAAATCCAAAATACTTTCTCTAATAGTATTTTCAATCATTTTAAAAGTACATCCAAACGAATCATATATCTTTACCCATTAATAATTGTCAAAAACCGATAATTTCTGCAAAATTGAAATATATTATTAGACGCGCCCTATATCATCCGACTACCGTCGTCGTCGTTTTTTAAAACCACCGCAAATCCTGCCCCTCTCCTACCTCCAGGACATCAAATAAAATAACAAAAAAGAAGACATAAACCTAACGGACGCTAAAAAAACGATAAAATTAACAGTAGGAAAATATAAAATAAAGAAAACACAAAAGAAAAGAAAATAGAACATAAAAAAAGCAAAATATTTTAGCATGACACACCTGGGCTGGGGTTACACGCCATCCTTGCTTGACAAACTTTGGGCCGTGACGAGATTATACACGTGGCCAATTGATTACCTTTTGGGTTTGAATCCAGCCCGCAAAGCAAGGGTCCAAGATGAACATTGGATTTCCATGAGATGGTTGAATAGCAGCATGCAGCTGCTGGCATGCTAATTTGAAGGCTTAGGATTCTCTCCCTTTCTCTTTTCATCCCCTTTCATTCATTCTTCTCACATTTTTTATTTTATTTTATTTTTTTATAAAAAAAATAATATAAGATGTTGACGTGGTTTAATCGTAACCGTTCAAATAGGAGGGAAATGAAGAAGAGGGAAAAAGAGAGGAAAAGTTGCCTATCAATCCTCAGTCTTTGTCAGTATCGAGCCCAAAGCCAACGATTCTCTACCTCGCCATTTTAAGGACTAGGATTTTCTCCCCTTTTTTTTACATCCCCTTGCATCCCCCCCTCTCACATTCTCTATTTTGTCTTTCTTTTTCTATAAAAAAATAATAATATAAGATGTTGACATGGTTTAACCGTAACCGTGTAAATAAACCCCATTTTTCCCATTTCTGAAGGTGTGTTTTTAGAAACCCCAAGTCCCTCTCTCTCTAGAGAAAACGATAGGTTTCTCATTTCTCTCAACGCCTCAACACTCTATAAAAACTGAAATGACTCTATCTCTCACATTTTCTCAGCCCTCTCTCTCTTTTCTCTCAGAACCCTAGCTGCGCCTCCGTAGCTACATTTCTGTTCAAACATCAGAAAAATGGTCCATCACACAGCAAGACCATACGTACAGCAGAAATTTCAAGGTAAAATCTACCCCGCCTTCCCAAAGTCTTCGTTACTGTTGGATTTCAAAAATGACAATGGAGGAACTCATGCGTGTGTTTGATCCGTGTAGGAACATTCATACCCAAATCCTCCATTCTCAGAGCAAAACATGGATGCTATTCCCAGATCCGCAAAAAGCAAAGGTGAACACTCAGTTGGCCTAAAAAATTTATCTCTGCACTGTTTTGTGCATAAAGGCCTCATATCCATGAATAATGGTTATCTTCCATCAAGTTAGCGACAATGCAGCTTCTGAATGCGAATGCTGATGAAGTAAGTCTGTGTACTTTCTTGATTGTTTCTTTTTCTGTAAAAAACCACTTTGCAATGTCAATGTGCATTTTAAGTATACGAAATAAAGAATCATGGTTATCTTCGTATACAAGTAAAAAAGAAACAATTTCATATCTTTCTTACCGTGTTTAAAGATTTGTAGTGATTAAATCTTTAAGAAATTTTACTTCACAGTTTTAGTTTTGAATTCAGTAAACTTTGAGTTCAAAACAATTAGCATGTGAATGATACTACTCGATGTCACTTGCATTAGCTGGTCCGCTCACTCTTGAATCTTTGGGTTCTTCTCATTCCTAGTATTGCAAACATATGCGGGATCCATGAATCTTACCCTTGAAATTGGGGTTGAATGCTTATACTACTCATCATATAAGTGGCTGTCCAAAATATAAGTGTTGTTATTCTTAGCGACTGAACATACAGATTTACTGAAAGAGTTGTATTTGGATCATATTCTAAAACAGAGAGAAACGTTACCTCAGGTAAGCTGCTATAACTTCTTGTTCAAGTTGCCGCATTTCAATTAAATCCAAAATACTGCTTTTTTCAAGGAACACAATCCTTGAGTGACCAAATGCTTGATCTTCCGCGGCGAAAAAGACAAGTGAACCATCATGGTTCGCTTGTCTATTTCGTTTGTTCGCTTGTCTATTTCGCCGCGGAAGATCAAGCATTTGGTCACTCAAGGATTGTGTTCCTCGAAAAAAGCAGTATTTTGAATTTAATTTAAATGCGGCAACTTGAACAAGAAGTTATAGCGGCTTACATGAGGTAACGTTTCTCTCTATTTTAGAATATGATCCAAATACAACTGTATGTTCAGTTGCTAAGAATAACAACATTTATATTTTGGACAGCCACTTATATGAGCAGTCTAAGCATTCAATCCCAATTTCAGAGGTAATAGATTCGTGGATCCCGCATATGTTTGCAATACTAGAAATGAGAAGAACCTAGAGATTCAAGAGGGAGCGGACCAGCTGATGCAAGTGACATCGAGCAGTATCTTTCTCAATTAATTGTTTTGAACTCAGAGTTTACTGAATTCAAAACTAAAATTGTAAAGTAAAATTTCTTCAAGATTTGATCACTACAAATCTTTAAACAATATGAAAATGTTT